AAGTTTAACCAGCACCACGCACTGCAGTGCAACTACAACCAACCTTGGGAAAACAGAACAGTACAGTCTATTCCCTTTAATTGATAAATACACCCCTGTCCCACAAAACATCAGTGTATGTATCATCATCCACTGCATGCACCAACCAGCTCTTCTGTTATGCCCATCTGGACAACTCCCAGAAGGAAACAAGTTTGTTAATCAATGAACTGAGAGGGATGTTAAAAGGCTCTGAGACTCTGGGAAACCTAATGTAGCTCAAAAGACCCCTTGAGGGTCAGGAAGTAAAGGATTTAATAGTTTTCAGAGAAGTGACATATTGGCCTGATGCTTCTGTGAAATATGCTTAGAAGAAAAAAAAAAATTTCCATCACACTTCAACAAATGTAAATGTTTAAACTGTGAACTTAGTCTTCAGTTGTCTTCAAACCTGTTACCATATGCCTTCCTTTTTGAGTGTACTTAACATTAAAATAACATGTTTGCACTCCTCAAATAACCCATCTGCTGTTCCCTACTTCTGCTACTTTAAAAGCTCGTCAGCTGCTATCCATTGGAGTTTGATTTTCAGCATAAAATTGGCAATTAATATTTATTATTTATTTTGCCTAATTACAATAATTTCAGGCACTATACTCATCTTTAAGTGCTCCAACACTTGAAATAACAAGGGAACCCCAAACAGCTAAGATTAAGAAAACTATCACAAGTGTTTCATTAAGAAACCTAACTCTGTCTCCCTTGACTGAGAATCTACTTTTGACTAACCACACAATAGAAATAGATAGAAGTGTTTCAAGATTTCATATAATTCAAAAGACCACTATGATATAGATTCGTCATAACAAGCAGATAAAAAGACAGGAGAGAGTCATGGAAAGGAATTTGTAAATAAGGCTCCTCAGGTAATTCCACATATACTGTACTATATACATTGCAGAAGATACACAAGCCCAATATGAACCAATGCAACACAGCCACTGTTACCTTGCATTACCTTGAATACACCTTCAGACTGTAATGCACACCTCTGGGACTGCTTATACATTCAGAGTAGGCAATCATTGGATTAAAATAAATAAAATTCAATAAAAACCCAAGCAGCTAAGACCTCAAGCCTCCCTCATAGTTAAGTACTCTAGTAATATATTGTGGCTCCTTCCTGCCTACCATCTTTGCATTCAGGGCAGCATGTCCCTGCTTCTGTTTCAAGAGGGGAAATGGATCATCTCGCCCAGTCTCCCACATAGTTTGATGGTTAGGACTCTGAGCTGCACCAGCTGTGGGTTCAAATCCTGCCAAGCTGGAGAAGAACTGAACTTCACATTTCTACTACAGGGACAAATTGCCTAATGAAAGGTGGGGAAAAAACAGTGTAACTTCAGATGAATTCAAATGCAGTAGGACCTGACTGAGATTAACTATTCAGATTTTTTGGAGCTGGCACCTTACTCCCACCCATCTCACCAGAGCAGGGTATTCATAATCTTTTCAGTAATCTTAATCTGTTCAGTAATCTTTTGTCTAGAAATCTTTTTGTCCCTGGATCAAAGCACACTCAGATTTCTGGAGGCATCAGAGGTTAGCTAGCATTTAAAAGTACATTGATTGTATTGCTCTAAAAAACACAGGTAACTTGTTTATAAGTACAGTGGTTACAACCTAGAACTTTAAACTTACAAAAAGTTTGAAATGATAGTACTATAGATATTCAGCAAATATGTTGCATTTTGATTCTTTCTGGAAAATATTACTACATACCTATTTCACTTTTAGAGGTTTCTTAGATTTTCACCAATAGTTTTTCTTATATCCTTTAAGGTCTCAGAGCAGACTGCATATTTATGCTGCCAGTATAATGAGCAAAAGAAGAACAATCAACTCTCTATTCAAAAAAAAAGCTATACCTTGCTGCTAACAGCACAATATGATATTTACTAATTCCTTCCACTCCTTTAGATTAGCCAAGATGACTTTGGCTCTGAGGAATTTCTTTCTACTTACTGACTTAGAGGTGCTTGGGGCAAAATCATTATCTGATTGGCCATGTTTGTTCAGCAGCTTTCTAGTTTTAGAGTGCAGGAAGGTTAACGCTAATTTAAGATACGAAGGTATGCTTGCTATACACCTCAAATATTGAACATGAATTCTAGGAATGCATCAGATTTTCAAAGGTTAAGAACTGACAGGCAACATATTTACTAATTGGCTACAACAGAAGAGTGCTGGAAAGCATCCACTTCTCAGCATGACTCACAGTGTACTCTGACTTCCTTGCAACCTCTGGCATTTTACAAAGATGTAGTACTACAAACTTCTGAAAATTTAGATTCTTTTCAAAGAAAAGCAAAACAAAAAGAACATACAGCTGTGAACAGGGCAGGACAGCAGTCAGTGCAGCAATGCAATTACAGCATACAGATGTATGCAGATAAGAATAACAATAAAAGAAATAAGAAATAGCATAAATCACAAGCCCAACATTTTACTTTAATATTTTCCAAGTACAAAGATTTATTATGCTGCAAAGCTACCAAAGTACCATTTTTCATAAAGCTGAGGTTCACTCTCACAGAAACACAGAGAATATCAAGAAAAGTCTTGTACTATTTAGCTTACTGGGATTACAGACATAACTGAAAGATAAAAGATAAAACATGATGATATTTGAAGTGTTTACAAAAGCCAATGAAATACCATAGGTGAATAATCAAATATTTCAGTATATTAAAAATTAGCAAGACTTAGAGGAACACAAGAGGATCTCTTGCCAGTCTGCTAGGAAGTACCGTGAGATTGTGCGGTTTACAGAAGTTGCAGAATAAGAAAACAGAATCAACAATACACTAAGCATTTGTGTTTTATATTTTATATATATGCACATGCATGTTGTCAACCATTTCAAGAGCACCAGATACAGTGTGCAAGAACAGATTGTAAACTTGAGATTTTGCTGATAAATCCTTGCAAAAATAACCCAGTTACATGAAGGAATCAATCCACATTTAAATTATTGACCAGATGCGTGTGTCTTGCTGTCAGTACCAATTGCAGAGAGCACACAAGGAACCTCAATCATATCCTTGACTTCTCTGGGAACCAGAAGTAACCTGACAGCACTAAAAACAAGACTCTAAAAGACTGTCTGGATGCACCTATAGCTGCGTTCCACCTTGGATTCTTCAGCAACTGTTGCCACATCTGATGGTGATTCCTACTGCTGAGATATTCCTCTTGAATTCCCTGATCTGTACCAGTAGTTTGTAACACAGTACACGGTATCACCACACTGTTTGTATTATACAACAGGACTAACAATTTAGAACCACCATTATGACCCATATGATTATTATACATACATACATACATTAATAGAAAGGATGAGTACTTTTTAAAACAACTCAGGCAACATGTTTAACCACAAGATGCAATTATAAACAAGTATGGAAAGGCCATGAACCATATTTGAAAAACCCATAAATACCTTTTGAATGCTCACAAGAGTAATTTTAAACATTTTACTGAATGACCTTTGTTCTCTTATTACAATAGGGAGAACTGCAGTTTCAGAAATACTTCTTCTACACTATTAATATTCTGATATATAGCAGCTTCTTCTTTGTCATTTACATTGCCACTAAGTGGCAGAAGATGAACCAAGAACAGACAGAAGATCATGGTGCTTTGAACATATTTGTTTTTAACAATAACAGCGTATAAAATTAGGTAGCTGATACTTCAATTGCTTCTGACTTACTGCCAGGTCCCTCAGACCTGAGGAAAGCACAGACAGGTTTGGGAGAGGAGCTGCTAGACAGTTCTGAAATCACGAAGCAGGTGTGGAAGCCCCTAATAAGAAGGGAGACAAGTTCTACGTGTGCGGGTAAACTAGGAAGTGAGAAACAGCAAAAGGCCACAGAAGCCATCGCATAGAACTGGCTGCGAGCCACAGGAGTTCTGAGGAGAGGTGGTATCAGCAGAGGCCCTGGTCAGATTTATAAGGAAAAAGGCAAGAGTACTTTATATAGACAGCCAAAGAGAGGCATGAAACATCAAGGAACAGGAAGGAAAAACACTATAATCCCTATTTTCAAGCTAATAATTCTTAAAGAAATAATATTTTTCTGGTATGTTGATATAGTAACAACTTATGATACAGCCTAGTCATTTAAAAGTTAAGGCTGAGATACTTCAAAAAATTGTCTAAATAAGCATTTAGGATATTTGTAATACTATGGATTACAACCTTAGTGACTGTTGGTAAAGCATCAGAACAGAATATTGGAAGTTAATGGAAGCTGTCCCTGAGATATTTCACTGTGAAGCATTTCATTAGATTTTCATAAGAAAATAAATAAAAAAAAAAAAAACAAACCTTACAAAAGTACAAAATCCAAATGTATTTTAAGATGCACTTAACATGAAGAATAAACACAAAGAATGATTTCTTTCTTAAACAACAAGAGAACATCTACCAAACGTGCTTCTTCCCTGTTCACTTGTGCAGTTATCCATCAGCCAACTTCAGATGACTGGTTATTATACAGGCAAAAGAGGAAATTCTCTGTTATGGTGTATTTTACAGAATAGATTGCATACGATATGCATAGTTATCTGCAGGATGGGATAAATCTATCCTAGCTAATAGTAAAGGCCGGGTCATCCTTCTTAGAATATTGCATTAAAACAGCAGACAGCAAAAATACTCTAAAGCACGCAACAGGGAGAAATTATCTAAACAAAAAGTCTGTAGAAAAAGAAAAAATAAGATCAACTACCCAGCTCTAGTCTCCCTTCTAAAACCAAATCCTTAATCACTATTTAACAAGCCTTTAATAAAAAGCAGACTTGCATTAAATGGGCAGGGGGCAACACTGTTGGAAAAAAAAAAAAACCCAGACCGATCTTCAAATCCACCCCCTCTTGAAATGAATGAGATGAGAATCTATGAAAAATAAATACGAGAGAAAGAGTAGAAAACAAACATGACATTCACTCACATAAAATTTTCTGGATATTCACTCAAGGCCATATCAATGATATTCAAAGCATCATGATAGTGTTTCTGGGCTGACAGCAAGAGTGCAAGGAGATGAAGAGAGTTGGCATCATCTCCTTGTAGCTGCAGAGCCTGACGAACATAACCCAAAGCTTCTGGTATCTGATTTAAAAACAAAAAAAAAAAAAAGGCAGAAAAAGAAAGCACCACTATTAGAAGTATTACCTATTACTTGATTGCACATCCATAAAATTTTCAAAATATTCACCTGTATACCATGTAGAATTCTATAGACTCCTGTAAGACACTACTCAGAAGTTTAAAATGGACCTGATGCTCTACAGTGAACAGTAAAAATTAAATAATATATTAGCCCTGGAAAATAAGATACAAGTTTTACTAAAATAGTTCCCTTCAGTCCTTTAAAATATTCACTTACTATTCTTTTTCAGGTATTGGTTGTATTTCTATATGATTTTGAAAATATTTTAATTGTAATACATTAACTAAAATGTACAGCTAGACTGCAACAGTAACTTTTCTTCACATGGACTTTCATGATCTCCTCAGCTGCATGTGCTTTTGCTCAAAGTATGTACACTAAGTGTTAAACCCAGGAATTTAATTAAGCAACATGACAAGTTTGGAATTCAGAAGTACAGAGCCATAGCCTGCTACTGAAAAATATTTTGTGCTATTAAAGTGACAATCCATTCCACTTTAATGTGACATAGTCCAATGTCTCTGCTACTCGTTAGTAATGAAAAGTAGTCACCTAGAGTATGTAAACTACTGTGCTCAAAACAACTTCCTAAAATAAACATGACACAGGAAAAGGCTTACCATGACACATACAAAGCAGCTCCACATTATCCAAATTCATGTGATATATGGTGGAATCCTAAATCCCTTAAACATAACAGCTGTACAAGTTGGACTGAGCTCTGATCTCTTTTACAGCTTTAAAATATTTTCCAGATTTCTTAAAAACATTTTTGTAATTTTGTTCACAATAACCAAACCTCCTACAAGCATTCAGAAAAGGCACGGATCTTAGCAGATACTCAAGTTTTAAGCACTGCAAAATCATTAAAGATTAGATTTAAGAGTCCCACTCTCCAGATAACCAGTCTGAGCAGAGACTACATGTAATAGGTAAAACCAGGGTGAAAACCAACTTTTTTTTTTTTCTCTCTCCATCCAGAAACATAAATGCTAAAACAAATAAATTGAATGACTTATGTCCTATTTCTAATCCTAGAGCTGGAAATATTGTGGCAGAACTCTGGAGAAGTGTACAAGACTGAAGGTGTTCAGAGAGAATATTTCGGGGGGGTGGGGGGTGTCCATAGATATGCATATATGCACAAAGAAAACCAGGTTTCTATTCTATTTTCTATGAAGAAATCTTCATCTGTATCCATCAACAGATACAAATTCTAATCTTTGTACGACAGTGTGAGGCTGCACTTTTAAAACACAACTAACCTGTCTGGATATGGCAAGCTGCAGTGCCAAGTAAAATGCTGCCAGATGATCTGTTGGAGACAAACTGTGAGCCCTTAAAAACAAAGAAACAAAACAAAACAAACAGTGAATTTTTCTCTGGTTAATACAGGCTAGACATACACACATATGCATGTATATTCATGTACCCATATTCAGATCTCTTCACTACACATATGCTCATATTTTGATATACGTGGTTTCATTCCAGTGACTTTTCTGTCACTTTTAATAGAAAATCATTGTTATATGTAATAGAAATTATGTTATTTTTAATAGAAATTATGTAATTTCAGTATAAATCTTAAAAATGAGCAATACAAAATGATTCTTCAATTAAAATACACTCCTAAACAAACACTACATGTAATTATCTAAACGGAAAAAAAAAAAAATCCCCCAAACCAACACGCATTCAAAGACAAGAGTTATGTCATCTGCACGAGAAGTACACAAGCAAATCGCACCGACCCTGACGAGGATGGTTCTGAAGCACAGAACTCAAAGAGGAAGAGTAGCAGCAAAGTAGATCAGAGTTTTGTTCATTCTTCAGACTCCCAAAGTTTAAGGACATTTTCAGTCCAGCATACTAAGCCTCCTAGGAAGCCAGTTACTTCTTGGCTTTGAATTGCTTTGAGATTAAGTTAGCAGAGCACCATGGTATGTAGCAATGTAAAAGAAATCTAGGCTGGACTGATTCTTTATCATAGCATTACAGTAAAAGGCAGCATAAGATCTGACTCATCATGAACCTCTGTCTTCTCAAGTCCAAAGAGACAGCTCCATTAGTTTAGCAACTACACCCAACCCGTATCAAAGTAGTTTAAGTTATCAGGAGACAGTTTCATATTTTGTTAAATTCATCTCTAAATTGGAGATTTGAGTCAAATATAAAGCCTAACAGGGCCCAGGACCAGTCCTTTTTTAAATTTAAGTTCACAAATTAAGCAAGACTAAGTAAGAACAAGACATTTTAACTTAGAGAGTACTTGTTCAGTCACCCAAGCTTCAGCTAGTGAAAGAATAAAGCTGTTACTATCTATCAACCATTTGGTGAGTTCTGTGAAACGTCAATTCACACCAATCACAGGAAAAGCACTGAAAGTCTTCCAAAAAAAAAAAAGTTAGTGAAACAAACACCCCCTCAGCACTGTGCAAAGATGGCAACAAGCACCTTCTCAAATGGCCACTATCAGAAACTGGTAGCCTTGAAATCTGGCATAGGCAAGGGTCCAAAACATAACTATTTCTTCAGGACCTCTATTTCTTCAGGAATTGGTCCTCTAGGTAAGTGATTAAAAAACTCACAAAAAGCCCCAAACAAACAAACAAAAAACTTGGCAGATCAAATACTGAGTCCAGTACAGCTGCTTGTTTTATAAACTGTGCAGGAAATGAATGGAGAATTTCAACTTCCATCTCCTGGAAAACATTTATTTTTAAGATGTGGGAAGAGAAAGTAGGCATGACTCTGGTATGCTGAGCATAGCACACGCTCTGTGGTAACAAATTTTTGGTAACATCCTATATCTATGTTATCAACACAAGGAACCAGCAACATTATCAACCACATTGAAGTGTATTTCCAGTACAGCTGATCTTTCAGGTGCGAGTCTCTCTATGAACACAAGTGAGGAAACTTGTTAATATGCAGAACAATCACCTTTCAAAACATACTTTTTCCTTTCTCTTAGAAGGTAGCTATGGGATTTCTGATATGCAGAAAGTCTGTTTGGTTTGAGGGTCAAACCATTCTATTCAAGATTCTATGTGGAGTCCAAGCTACTCATATCAGCAATATTAGCAATTCACTACAGTTGTCAAAACATATACCTGCACATTACTAAAACTTCCGAAAGTTACTTCAATTAAAAGTCTATGTACAAGTTCATTCTGAGAGAGGCCATCAGAAAGAATGAACATATAACTTAACATCAATACCCTGGAACACGCACTTAAAAATACAAAACATTGTTTCTAGCCCAAAGCATCAGAAAGATGCATAGAAATCAGATGCAATTAATCCTCATGATCCCAAGACTTTCTGTGTACAAATTTATATTCTGCTAGTTGGTACAAATATTTCAAAGCTCCATATTACTACAAAACTGAAGTTCTAGTCAACCTATATAGCTAAAGGACATCTGTAATGGTTCACCGAAGAGATGCTAGATATGTTTTCAGATTTCAGCTGGTACTAGTCGCTGCTAGGAAGTCTTCAAAACTGAACAGTTAAGAAGGTATGAAGAGGCTTATTGTTCAGCTTTAGAGAATGAAACAGAAAAGTTCCTGGGTGAAAGATGACATAACACAACCAAGCAACAATATTTGAATAGAGAGTGTGAAAGGGAAATTTCACAGTGATAAGAAGCTGAATATCGTTTGAAAAATAGTTCTCCTAACCTACTGTGTATTGCTTATTCCCTTTCAACTCAAAATACTTATTCTTTTTCTAGAGCAACCTAATAAAATATTACCACAATAAGCAGTACGCTACCTATAAAAGCATCCTCGTATTTACAGGTGGTCAAAATGCTGCACAACCTCAAACCTCAGAAAATGGAAATTTTCCAGACAGGTCGATAGCAGGGAACAACTCTCAGAATTTTGGGAATCGCTATACTAAACTGGAGAGTAGAGGCAGCAGGCACTGAACTGGAATGGACTAGCTTCAGGCTATGGTTCATTTCATCCCTTGCTGTTTCAAAGAAACAGCAGAAGAAAGCAAATCACCGTTAGAAACACAAGCAGTGAATGGGTAGAAATGGCAAGAAATGGTTAGCACAGTATTTTTGAAACACTGATGTCAGTGGTAAGAGGGATAAGTGAGGAACTGAGGTATAAACCAGGAGGTATAAAGTTCAGTTTCAACATGGAGAAAGAATGCTGAAGTAATAAAAACTATTAAAACCATTAAGAACAAAGGAAGAGCAAAATATATTAAAACATATTTGCATACAAAGGAATAGTTAAGACAGAAAAAGGAAGGACCAATACATACCAGCCTCACTTTGAAGTTACCTGCAAAACACTTTTTCAACCCTATCCCCTCAGATACAAAATCACCAACAAAAATCCCAGACTTTGCATTCACATTAATGCACAAATCAGTTTCCCTTCAGGGAAAATTTAGGCCTATCTCACCGAAGTAGGGTTTCCAAGGGTATATAAACATAAAAAGAGACATGTTTAGATGTTGCAGCACTTCTGCCAGCTTTGCCATCAAGATTTGTTTCTTCTATAATTAGGGTAGAGATGTTTTCTTCACCTGTTTATTGTCATGTCATTTGCAGAGTCAAACCCTTGAGAATGAACTACTGTCATCCCCAGCAGAGCTACTTCTGTGTAAGGCACTTGGAAGACGGGGCATTTGTGCTGTCACTGCCTACGCTGTTAAATCTCCAGATAGAATTCCCCCCCCGCCCCCCCCCCGCCCCCCCCCAGCTTACTACCTTACTACCTGCATTTCACCCCTCATCCACAGCAGCAGGGCCTCAATTATCACTCTGCCTCTACAGAGATAATTGCTATATAATCTGATCAGCGACCAACTCTTCTAGAAACACTATCACATTGAACCATGACTTGAAACCTTGCGTTGTATCATTTTCCCTTCTAGATCAGAACAGAATACTCCTTTGAGCAAATATTTTATACTAGAGAGCCACACAAATGTCTTTAAAATTAAATAAAAGGAAATCCTTAGAAATCAATTTAGATATTTCTGACAGAAAATTATGAAGTAAATGCTAAAGAAATACATTCTGTATTCATGAAGGGAGACTCCCAGAGGTGAAATCCTCATTACACAATCTTTTAGAAGTCCCTCTTTTTAGCACATAATAAAGCTTTTCACTACATACAGCAGAATGAAAAGATTAACACCCACTCACCTCTGAAATGCAAGAAGAGCCTTTCTCTGCAAGACCTCTTGCATCCCTCGCAATGATGCTGAAAAGGATATATTTAATCAGTGATATGCACGATCAAGAGATTTCATTCCACATGCTCATTGAAGAAGTTTTAATACATTGACTGAAAAGAAATGGTTGCACACAGATTTAATTTTAAGTCTAGCATTCGGCTAGGTATCCTTTTTTAAGCAACATGGGAATTTCCAAATGTAAATGTTTATTCTTATCTTACCATCAGTAGCCTGCAGACTGTAAGTCAATCCCAGTGCCAAGTAGCCTTTTGCTTTGAACTCTGATGTTTTGTCCCCAAGATCAACAACTGTTTTGGCAAATCTTTCAGCTTCTTCCAACTGAAAAGATTATAAAACATCCATGTAAGTCTAAAACCAGCTAAAGCTTACATTATAAAGAGAAGAATGCACAGCATGTGTATTATGCATGCTGAGTCTGTTGACATCTCAGCCACGATTGCTTTTAAGGACAATTTTGTTTTTCATTAGACTTAGTTTTCCTGCTAAATATTGAGTAAAGAACACAGATTGAAGCTGAAGCACCCATTCCTATGCTTGAGAGAAACTCTGGCACATAACACACAGATCATTCTAAACTTACTGTGGTTTTGCCTTTTTTTTTTTTTTTAATAAAAAAGCCATTTCTGGCCCATATATGCCATCTACCATTTTTGCATTTCATAAATAGAGTTCTTGCCCCATGAATCATTTCTTTAGGAAAGTCAATTACAAGAACTATGGCTTCAACCCTGAAAAAAAACAAAACAAAACATAGCCATGCAGAACTCTGCATCACATACAGTATTGCTGAATGGATGTGAACTCATAAATAGAGAAACATCTAAAAGATCAGGGTTTAACTGCAGACCCATGCTAGCACACAATGTAACAATCTAGAAAGAAAAACATAACATTTGAATCCATTCCAATAAATGTAAATGCTAAGTACAGTAAGCTACGCCATATGGAGTCAATCCATAGGGAACAATTTACAGAACTAGGATCTACGTTAATTATTAAGACTGTATTTTTGTCAGACTCAGCAAGTCGTGTTTCTGCTACTGCACTATTTTCTCAATTTCTGATTGTGACCGTTCCCTCCTCTTTTCCTCCTTTTTTAAATCATAGAATCATAGAATCATTAAGGCTCATTCTTCTAAAAATTACACGTGTTTCTTGAAAACCACACAATGTTCTTTGATCACCTTCATGTTCTTTGTACAGATACACCACTTTCAAGGTTATCTAAAATACAACTGCAGTAACATTTTTTAAAAAGACACTGTCCCTACTAGGAATTCATCCAGCTGTCTGCAAACATGGTATCACCAGAAGTCTCTTGAGTGTAAGAGATTTGTCTCATTATCTTCCCAAAGAAGTTATTTTCCTCTTGCACAGAGGAAACAGAAGTCTAAGTTGCATTTTTAACCTCTGTATGCCAACGTTTCAATTTCTAATACATTTTTAGCTGTGTCTTAGATCAGTATCGATATGCTACCTTGATAAACATAACCATTGCTGTCAAATATTTTAAATTAGCTATGCAGAGATACACATGTGCATATATGTATCTGTGCTGTATTTTCAGAGATGACCAAGTGCATGTAGTCACTGTGCAAAAGTATTTGGTACATCCCTAAACCAAGATTTTGTTGCATTTTAGCACAGTTCTTGCTAAAAAGACAGAGTGGCAAAGCTTACCCAGTGCAGAGATCCCATACAGAGCTTTGCAGCAAGGAGCGGAATAGTTGCATCATCTGGTTTCAAACGTATACATTCCTTCAAGACTTTAACAGCTCGAGCAGACTGTTAAAAACATTTTCCATTGAAATTACTAAACGCAGAAATATGTTTCACAGATAGAAGATTCCTATTTCCATCATTTACTTTATTTTTCCCATGTGAAGGAGACGTTACTAAACATTTTGTTGACCATTTGTCACAACTCCTTATGCAAGTGAAACACAAGACTTTAGGAACTGCTGTTGTTATTTAACCCCTGTGAACTATCATTAAGTGTCCCCAGTAAAACATTTGTCCAGAATGTAATTCCAGTGGTACATGATTCAGAAAACAGTTTTGAGATGCATTTAAAACTTTGCTAGGCCTGTAAGCTCACAACATTTGAGGGAGGCGAATGAAAGAGAAGGAACAGGACAGAGTCTTCAGAACAAGCAGCGGTTTCGTGCTCTTTGGGAGTTACAAGAGCACTTAGGAATAGCTCTGATATATGATTGTATAAGAGTGGTATTGCTCCTCATTTGCCTCCATCCAATCACAGTTTAGAAGATAACTCTAAGTAAACAGAGAATAGGAAGAAGAATCAAGCCCCTTTAGAACGAATGTGCATCTAAAAATATTTTCTAAAGAAAACACAAATCTTTCCTTTCCCCCATATTGAAGATAAGCAAATTACCTCCATTGAGAATGATCTTTTAGAAAATTAGTATTATTTACATTACATAAAGAATGTGATTTATTTGCTGTAACGTGACAGGGAAAAGCAAAAGGAACCAAAAATAGAAGATTGCATCTGATAACATAAGTTCCTACGTTATATAAAATTAAAAAAAAAATCCAACTCACTTTAATTGCACAGAATACAGTCTCAAAGACAATAATATTTAAAAAGACACAATCAGAAATCCGCCCCCCCCCCAAAGCAAGACCATCATGAATCAGCATTAATTTGTACCTAAGCATAAAATTTGCTCATCAAAACAGCACTTAAACAAGGTTGTTACTGGATACTATGATCTGGTATGATTCACTACTTATATTCAATTAGCTTAGCTTAAGCTTGTTGGCAAGATAGTTCTTATCATCACCTTTCAGACTTCCTAAGTTAGAAAGTATTGAAATAACATTCTTTGTACAGCACTAGGCATAAATTCAGGAGTACAGTGTACTTAGCTGATTTAAAGATTAGAATTATTTGCAAAAACACTACCAGTTAAAATTATGGAAGCACCAAAAGTTGTTATCAAAAGCCATCAATACAAGAATTACATCAAAAAATTAAGACTTACTTTTCCTGCTGCCATCAAGGACAACGCAAATTGATACCAGAGATGGAACTCTTCAAACGCAAACTTCATGGCTCTTTCTAAACACTAATTTTTGGGGGAAAATTGTTATTTAAGGGCACATTCTTCCATTAGTAAGAAGATATACTAGTATAAAAATTTCTTATAGACTCATACCTAAAATACATGAAGTTAAAAATTCAAATCATTCAAATAAGCTAAGTAAAAACAGCTGCCAGATTCTATAAGGAAAAAAAGAATTGAAAAGACAATTGATTTCCCATTTATTATGTTTGTTTAAATACTCCTGCTGGTACTGTCCAATTTAGTCTGAAAGAAGGAATGATAAGTATCAGCTTACTGAAGGTATCAGCTGCAAAAGGTAGTAGATAAGTCTTAAGTGAAAAGGAAAATTATACACACACTCTTCTTAAATTGTGAACACTTAACAAGCAATGGCACCACAAGTACTTATCAGTACCACTTAAAAGGGGGGGGAGAGGAAAAGGTTCACCTGACAGTATTATTTCTATTTTTAAGAATTTTAACTTCACACTCAATATTCTGCTGAGATTTTCAACTTAATAACTGAATGCCAAAAGGAAATTCATTATTTACTATACTGAGATTAAATATGTTAAATTAGCATTATATGCTAATTTTGATGGTTTCATATCTGCTGTTGTCAATAAGAATTATTTCATTTTGCTATGCTCATTTTTACTAATCAGGCCAACTCCGGAGACTGGAAAGGTGCAATACTTTCCTGGATTAAACTGATTTCGCAATTAACTTTCTAGTCTGCAGCGTCCAAATACATGAAGCAGCTTTTTTGCTCTGATAGCTATAATGTATATACTAAACTGTAATACCATTAATTATTTTTCGCATTCAAACTCAGCCTTAACATCACAGAAAGCACAGCCCGGTGTGTAGCGTGTTCCCACACTTTAACAGAACCTGAAGCAAAGAACAGCACTGAGGATGAAACAAGACAAATACAAGTGAATTATTTGCTAAATGTAAGTAATGTATGCTAGAATTTTTCCTACTACACAGTGTCCGGTATCAAGGCTATTACTAAATAGCAACCGACTTAACTAATTGAAAATACATTCAGCACAATCACTCCCCTGAAAGGCAGATATGCAACTGTTGATATTGCCTTGTAAATAATCACAAATCACTCTACGGACAGGTAATGTTGAATGCATTACTGAATTTTGTTGCTTAGCACTACGGTCTCCTCCTGAAAAGAATACACTTCAAGTTAGAGAGTTGAAAGATGAGTATCTAGGAAAATTTCTGGTCTGGAAAACATCTCTCCTAGTAGGACATGGATAAAGTCATTATGTCATATCCTATGAAGCTTAAAATCCAACTTGATGACAGTCAGAGTACTTTTGTGTAGGAGAGAATTATGACAGTAAAATTTCTTTGATCTAGTTGAAAAAGCCATAAGAAATTGAAAGCCCATGGTATAAAAACTACATAAAGAAATGAGACCTTTTCAATTAAGAACATGACTCGGCATTAGAACAGTTTAAGGATGAGACAGATTTTTGGCCATTTAATGTTCTTATATCACAGCTAACTACTACTGTAAGTAACCAGCTATAGCTAAACCAGAAGATGATAACAGGATATTGGAATTGGTGGGTGAATACCATTTCCACAGTTAGGATAATGGTGCTTTCTGACTTGAAGCTACAACAGCTCCACTAGAGCAATCATAATTAGCTCACAGAGAATGAAGCTGGCAAAAAATTACATGCCCATTACATAAATGAACAGAATGTTTTTACATTTCTGAATTTGCATTTATTATTGTAATACTTAGTATACTAAGTTATCTTGGTATACTAAGTATTACAATAGTTAGGATAATGGTGCTTTCTGACTTGAAGCTACAACAGCTCCACTAGAGCAATCATAATTAGCTCACAGAGAATGAAGCTGGCAAAAAATTACATGCCCATTACATAAATGAACAGAATGTTTTTACATTTCTGAATTTGCATTTATTATTGTAATACTTAGTATACTAAGTTATCTTGGTATACTAAGTATTACAATAGATAAGTATTTTTTATATATATATATATAATTAAAATATATAAGTATACAAAGTTACAAAAGTTTCAGATTACAGGTTGCAGGATTTGAGGGCAGATATCCTCTAACCCCTCACTAAACTGTAAGAGCTTCTTAAAGTCTATGTTTTCCACTGTGCTTTGGATGACAAGAACTGGAACAAATGAGATGTTCTAACCATTTCCTGATAAGCTCCTGCTGCAGCTGTATATCTAGAGTATCTGTATGCTAAAATAAGTATTGTCTATTACATCAGATCTTCATAAAATGATTTTTTTCATGTTCAGAATAGTTACTTCATGGACATATAACAAATACATTTTAATTATTCTGTATTGAAAAGGATTTTTCAAACGTAAGAATTTTTTTCTATTTATCAAAGAGAACATTTCAAAAGAATATACATACAATTTTCATGGAATATAACTAAAAGATGCCAGACCCAGATTAAAAAAGAACAAGAAAAGACCTTAAAACAAGCCTTAGGTAAACTTCAGGTGTCAAAGCCCAAGGCAGTGGCTAAAAATGCTCAACTAAGAAGCCAGCCAAACATGGAGGCTCTTTAACTTTCCAGATACTCATGGTTCTGCTTTTGTCTGTAACCAAGATCACCACCAGCACAAGCAACTTCTAAAAGGCACTGAAATCCAAGATCTAAGTCAAGTTAAAACATCTTCCATTAGTTAGAACGTTTGACTGTGCTCAAAACACAGCAGGAAAAGGAACAGGCAGTGGTACTTGTCTGTCAGCTACATGGGCTAAACCAATCACACCAGCAGTGAGGGAAGCAAGCTCTGTGCTCTTCTCCATGTGAAGGGACTATAAGACTTTGTCCTAGACTTCAAGATACATGGCTAAGAACACAGATACCTCTAGCTTGCTTGGTGAAGCCAAAACACTTCTCTATTAAGAAAGGCAAGAAGAAATGCAAACAAGAAGCTGTGTATATTGTGACATAAATACTACTCAAAGATTCTCAAAGGAGACAGTGGAGGAATCCCAGTAACCTGTGATGTTCCCAATAATATAATGGTTGTTTAAAAAAAAAGGACAGAGAACCCACAACAACAACAAAAAAAAAAACAACCACCACAACACCACAGAGAAAATAAAAGTATCAGAATTGGAATCCACGGCTACACTACTCCTGCCAAGTTGCTAGGCTAGTATATAAAAAGGAAAGGTGTCCAGCTGCTTAAAGAAAAAAGAAATGAGAGTTACCTTTTCAAGTTTGGTTTTTTTTTACAATACTTGTCAATGCCTATCCTTTAAAAAGTTCTAGACTAAAATATAGGAGACTCATCTCTTTCAGCTTTGGTGAAACCACCTAAAACTCCATGAAGGTGATAGTGTCTGTAGTGGCAAATAAATGGAAATATTCCTGATTAGATTATGTTGCAGGGTGACAGTCCTGTATGAGCTTTGATATTCCTTAGTTTTGTGACAGACTTTCTATTGTACTGATTAAAACTGACTTGTATGCCCAACTTGCAGCTATCAAGTACTTTCAAGAAGAAGAATACCCAAATTCAGAGCTTAACATCATGGCAGACGTAGATTAAAGGGTGACTATCAACATATACCAGAGAAGAACTGGGGCGTTTTTTTCATTTTTATCTTAATAAAAATCCTCTGTTATGGTAAAGAGAAACCATTTCTCAGCAAATCAAACCCTTGATATGCCTTCCTGCCACAGATGCTGAAGTATTTCTTCTGGATACCAATAATTAATCATGGTCCGCAACAGTATCGTGCTGCTGGGTGAGCACTGTTTTGAGCAGTTGAAAGACCTGCTCTGCCCAAAGAGCTGTAGTTGTTTCTCAGGTATAAAACTGTTAACGATACTTGAAAATTTCCTGAAGAACTAAGTCGCCACAATCTAACAAAACACACGCAAGTTGCATAATCAAACACAAGACATTTGAGACAGAGAACACACTTTCCTACAGACCTGAAGAAGTAATACATTTCCATTTTATTAACTTCAAAGCCAACTACAAACTACAAGGACTTTGGAGCACTCCAAATATTATGAGGTGTAAAATAAAGTTTTCTTTATTAAATAAAACATCACAAATCCTTTTTTCTAGGTATTTATATCTATCACTTATATCCATAACAGCTTTTATCTTTTGCTGTTCCTCCCTGCTGTCTCCATTTAATGTTTATCCTTTTAAGCAGATCCATGCCTCCCCGCCTAAAAACCACGTGAATTGCTGTGCCACTCAACATTTATCACATCTTTCACACAATTTCTGTGCTTGACCACCGAAGTCACTTCTATAAATTTAGACAGTAAACTTTTTGGGGTGGAAACTACCTACTGTATTTATACAGTAGTCAGAATGACAGTGTCCTACATTTGTTTAGCCCTTAAGTATTACCACAGTTAACATGATTAACAGAAATAAGCAATGAAGACACAGTTGAATGTTCACTATTATCGACAAACCTCTGAGAGCATTTCATATTGGCCTCTTCTTCCCAAGGCTATAGTAAGTAAATCGTAGACTACAGATGCACTTTGCAAACTGATGATACGATCATTCTTGTGTTCTGGTATTCTGCTCAGTACAGCATCACGGTTAGCCTGAAAGATACCATGAAAAAAGAAACAAAGTCATCCATTGTAATCCAACCTATATTTTTGCACAAGTAACTACCATTCTATTCAGACTGACAGTCAGCAGTTGATATAGGTGATACAGAGAGATAGTATCTGCTACTAATTTATAGATAGCAAGATAGCAAGAATCACTGATTTTATACATTAGTGGAAAGATTTATGTTTCTATATGGATCTATTTTTAATTATTTGATACTAATTACATGAATTAGGTAATGTATTTAAAATTCTTGAAGAGTTTTCAGAAACCAAATAAGTTTTTTTAATATAATGTATATTCATCTTTTAAAATTTCATTTTAGTTTTTGTATGCAAGTAAAACATACTAAGAAGGATCTTCAAAATTTCTATTCCACCTTTTGTAAAATAAGGCAATCAATTTCTTTTTTCTTCATAACATTATGACGCTATCCTCTCACTTGTGAGTGGTAACCTGCCCAGGATAACCACATAATCACCTTCAGGAGTTACTAGTGAGAAGCAAAAACTGTCCCTGGTTCTGAGCACAGGTGAATCAGGCCTTGCTTGCAGTAAGGCCTTGTACTTTCACTCCTGTTTTGTGAAAGGCATATTGCAAACCTAATTTCTTATTTAAACTTTTCCTTTCAAAAAGGAAGAAAGCTGAGCTAGAACTGGATTAAATTAATTGACCATGTTCACAAAGAAATCCTGTTAAAGAACAAAGGATAAAATCCAGGTCTCCCAGTAGCTATGTTCAACTACTATTCACCTATATTCAACTACTCAGTACTTCTCCCACTATACCATCAAGCCTCTGAAAATACCTTATCTTGATATCTTATCTATTTCTAGATTTCTTGATGTTTAATATTCCCATTGGTACAAATGCTAGTATATCTGGTAGTTTGAAGTCAGAAGTTAAACATCCTTCTCTCTCTTCCTCCCCACCTTTTCTTTTTATTTTAATTACACAGGGCATGGCCACCTTAATATATTTACTTAAATACACTGAATTTTAATGGGCAGCTTATTTCCCCCCTTTTCAGAGGGGAGGAATGACACACATTAAGGGCTAATAAATTGTTTCTCTGCTTTAACAGGATAACATTTTAAGCTCTGAACATACTCAACACAATTTTAAATCAGAATAATTAAATACTGAAAGAAATTTTCAAAGAGGTACATGAAGCGTAAAACACACAGACATTTCAGGATTTATCAACTGAATAATCCACAGCTTGGTTTGAAAACACACACCTCCGCACGCGCACCCCAAAACAGACATTTTGCTTTCTTTTGATCAAGAAGTCTTTGGCTTTTCTTTCTACACTGCATAAATATTTAGTCAGCTTCAAGAACAACTTCCTTTTAAAATCAACATTTAATCATTGTTCGACTCAATTCCTTGCAAGTACAGAACAAGCTATGAACTCGCACCTCTTGTGAAAAAATGGCTGACAATGCCAAAGCAATATTACAGGAGACGATGACTTGTAAGTATTAAAGATATCTTACATTTCAACAATCATTTTCTGTGTAATTATAAAACAGAATGTACATACAAACTTTAGTTTGTGTTTCAAAGTGCTCAGTGTTTCAGAACTGCCAGGGTCTCAGACACAATAAAGTGACAATTAGTTAAGCTGCAATGTGTCAGCTGGCCACACTTACCCTATACACGCTTTAAGCCTGAAGCAAATGCAAGCAGCGTAACTTAGTTCATCCGCAGTGGAAGAAAGGATATGCTCAGACATTTTACCATCAGCTAAGAATAACACGTAGGGCTGAGCCCAGGAGGTGGTGATCAGTGGAACAAAGTCTAGTTGGAGGGCCGTAACTAGCGGTGTACCCCAGAGAATGATATTGGGCCTGATCCTGTTCAAAATCTTCATTAATGATCTGGATGATGCGGCAGAGTGTACCCTCAGCAAATTTGCTGACGATACAGAACTAGGAGGAGGAACTGATATGCCAAAAGGCTGTGCTGCCATCTGGAAGGACCTCAAGAGGCTGGAGGAATGAGCTGACAGGAACCCCATCAAAGGCTTCAACAAAGACTTGGAAGTGCAAAGTCGTGCACCTGGGAAGGAACAATCCCAGGCACCAGTACATGCTGGGGGTCACCCAGCTGGAAAGCGGCTTGGCAGAAAAGGACCTGGGGGTCCTGGTGGACACCAAGTTGAACAGGAGCCAGCAATGTGCCTTTGCTGCAAAGAAGACTAGTGGTATCCTGG